AGCCTATAGCAGCACAAATGGAGAAAATAGCTCAGGATGTATTTTGGATGTAAGAAAGGTGGAGCTAAGGAGAGACGCTTGTCTACTAGTGAGGTGCCTTTACAGCATAAGGTGAGCAGTTCAGGTTCCTGGGGGCCGTTATTCTGGAACATTTAGATTTTCCTTTGGTTCAACAAACTGGAATCAAGTAATTTGATAATTAAAAGGACTCTGGAAGAACCGACTGCAGACTGAGGAGGTAACTCAGCCGTTTGATTCATTAGACCAAGGATGAATCTAAAAGTGTCAGGATCCCGGCCCCCCCAGGAAGTGGAATTGACCCCCCACCCCGCTTTAGAGGTTATTGAAGTGGAAACATGAATTTAAATAATGTTTGTCGGTGGTTTGAGACACTAAAGCTATATTTATGTAACAACCTGTTTGTGTAACATTAATTTAAATAGAAGTCTGATGATATATTAATGGAAATAACATCTTTGTTAGTTTTGCTTGAATTCTTTAAGTGTAAAAATGAAGACAAATTAAAATAACCAAAGACCCCCCCCCCCCCAGGTGTTTCCTCCTGTATTCTCTCGTTAAACTTAGACCTTCCTTCATTCTGACTCTGCTCTTCCTGTTTGTTCACCAGGTAGATGCCTGAAATCATGAGCGGCGCCTCAGGACCTCAGTCTAGGCAAGCAAAGTGAGTTTCACGCACTCAACACATTCCTGCGGTCTCCCTCAGGTTCGCAGCCGCCTCCAGTGGCTCCGGTTGGCGGAGAATCACTAACCCAGTTTGGGAAAGGTGGTGCAGGTCAGGGACTTTGGGCACAGAGCTGCTCTGTTCACAGTTGTTTGCTTTGCTACCCCCCCCCCTCAGTTCCTCCTCCCTCTCATTCTCCTTGGTCTCTAAGCTTCCATTCGAATGCAGCCTGTCTGGCTGTATGTGTGAGCAGAGAATAGAGCTGATCAGAACTGGAAGCGTTTGAAGGCGTCTGGACGGCATTTTGGTTTAAGGAAGAGAAGATGAAGGGTTCCCAGCGTAACCCCCCCTCCTTTTGTCATTGCAGTGGAGTTGCCAGATCGGACAGCAAGCTCAGCGCCAAGGCCCTCTATGGTAAGCCTGGCTTTATCAAGAACCTGCCTTTATACACCCTGATCCTCATTGATTGATTGATTGATTGATTGACTGATTGATTGATTGATTGAGCTCACTGTGGAGAAATGCTCTGGTTATATTATATTTATTTGGTCTCTAAAGTTGCTCTAATGATAAACATGTTTAGCAGAATTCAAAGACCTGCTGATGTTTTTATGATGTTTCTATTTATGCTGCTTCAGACAGAATAAATCATGAGTGGAGAATCTATAGCGCTGTCAGAAACACGTTCATGACTTTATGTGCAGCTCAGTACCAATAAGTTGATGATTGCTTCGTAGGAAACAGTTTCCAAAAGTTTCTACATCTGAAGAAGGTTCTGAAAATCCAGAGCATCCTGGAAACATTTAAAGGCTGCAAAAACGTTTTCATCTATTTGGCATTTGATCAAATAGAGGAAAATGATCCTTTTGTCAGTAATTGTGTGACTCATGTTCATTTATAGTAGTTTGAGTTAATCCGACATGAATGATAAAAGAGGCATAAAAAAGCACTGAAAACATGAGTCATTTATTTCTCTAATATGCTGCAGGCAACCTGCTAGAAACTTGTTTTATAAAACTAAGATATTATGAAATAAGATTTACTGTTGCTAACCAAACTTAAAATAAATAACAGAGATGCTCTCAGGTATGTTAAATATATGTATGTTAAAATAGAAGTTAAATCACTTCTATTAAGCTCAAACCAAACTAAGACTGAGCTGTGATTTTTTTACACATTTGAATCTTTATGCTCTTTAGATTTTGTGGATCAACTCTAATGTTGACTCAAATCACAACAGTAGTGCACATGCCATGCAAATGAGTCAGTGAGGAAATCCAGAGCTTTCCGTGTGATGCTGCTCTGCTGTGCAGCTTTATTGGACTCTCACAGCCCCTCCCTCCTTAAACACTAACTGATGGATTAAAACCAAATGGACCAAAGTTT